GGTCGAATGGAGGTCATTTTTCTATAAACGGTGAAATCTCAAAGAAATCAAAAAAAAAAAACGAAGAAATCACACAGAAATCAGAGGAAAAACGTGCATACTTGCTTTGATTCCATATTAGAAATGAAGAACTAGAGAGAAAGAGATTTTGTTTATTTGAATCATTTTCTCATTACTTCATTAATTGTCAAGTATCGAATATACAAGTGATATATACATTATACTAAACCGGCAAGGTCAACCAAAATAGATTTACACAAGAGCTAAACCGAAACCTAAACCAACTAATGTATCCATGGTTAAGATGGATTAACTTTCAAATTTGATGTGATTTTCGATTGACTTTAAATTTTTGTGTAGTTTTGGATTGAGAAGTTTTATTTTTACGTAGTTTTTTACAAAAAAAAAAAAACTTAATTTCGTGTGGTTAAAGCAAAACATGAAACTTCCAGGGAATTGAGGATCTATCACTCATCAAATCAGGGCCGGCCATGAGAATTCAAGGGTAATTATTGATGTTTTGAAAGAAAAAAAACAAACCAAATGTTTGGAATTCAAGCAAAAAAAAAAATTGAGCCGGTAATTATTGATGTTTTGAAAGAAAAAAAACAAACCAAATGTTTGAAGGGTGAATCGAACCCACCACCTCTTCTTTATTCCATATAACACATGAACCAGTTGAACTAAATAAATTTTATGGACCGATAATATATATAAACCAAACATCGAAAAATTTGGGCCACAAGCACGGACTTGGCCCACTTGCCCTCAGGGCCGGCCCTGCATGAAATTCTTTGAAGGTATAGGCTTTAGTTTGTCAAGTGAAATATTAGATGAAAGAACGTAAATGCAAGTGATGAAAACGAATATGGATGGAATGTATAAGTTTAATGCATATATTAGTATATTATTTGTATAATGTTACAAAAATTTTATAACTAAACGCACCACTTGCTTACAAAAGGGTTAATTTATCCAATAACCACAAAAAAAGATATAGCTAAAAGGATT